ATCTCGGACGTTAACGTTCAGCGAGAACCATTTCGAGAAATTTCGTGGAGATATTTTTCCATGCTACCGAGCACGCAAGAGATCGTACGAGTTGCATATATTCACGGATAAATCCATTGATTTTATCACTGGAAGCAACGCGTGGCATGCATCATGCTACGTACACCGGTGACGCGCCGGCGGGTGCGCGCCACGTTTTATTACATCTCCTTACAGAGGCGGCGAGTGGGTACATGGTAATTAAGATACATAGGTGACTGGCGGCGCCATGGACGGGCCGGGTGTGGTGGAGCTCGCGCGCGGAGCGTCTGCCCTAGCACTCCCTCTGGCAGGTGCAGCGCCTGAATTTGCAGTAGCCGGCCGTCCATTTTGCGCCGTGCTCGCTGAGGCACGTCTTGGTGCAGCTCTTGTCCGAGATGCACGGGAACGAGTGGTGCTGGCTCTTCCCCGTGCAAATGCGCGCCTCCGCCACGCCGACGCCGCCGCTGTCGTCTGAAAAAAAATGTCCCGGCCGGCCACAAGCGTTAGTCCATAACCATAAGCAGCAGCAAATTAATAAGTCTGCGAGCGGCCGCTCAGGCTTACGCACATGAGGAAAGCAGGAGCAGCACCAGCATCACCGCGCACACGGTCGCCTTCGGCTTGAACTCCATTTGCTTCTGTGGGGGTAGGTGGGTGGATGGAGCAAAGCCTTTGGTTCTCTTTAGGTGGAACAAGCTAGGGCTTCTGATCCAGGCGACCGTGTTTGTTGTTACCAGGAAGAGAGGCTCTCTACTTATAGGGAGTTTGGGCCGGAGGAGCGGGCTGCCGTGCATGCATGCAGGTGTATTCGTGGCAGGCGGGCTGCATGTAGCGTGCCACCCGTCGGGCTGGAAGGCCGTGTGGTTGAGCTCCTTTTTCCAACTCAGCGTGCGTCTGGATGCTGGGGGTGAGAGGAGTCGCACCTCTGGACTCTGGTTTGAAAGAATTCGAACCAAACTTCCCTGCTGGTGACGAAGGGGCGCTGGACTAGGAGACGATCAATGGTCTCAAAACTCTCGAGTTCATGCCTGGTCGCAAAAAGGATTCAGCGTGGAGGTCTCGCAAGGCTGCGCCGCTCGCCGTTCAAGTCCCAACACCTATCCCGCATTGCAAGCCAGACAAAAACTTGGCATGAGCCATGCATGCGTATTCCTCCAATTCCCTAATAATCTCCGGCAAAAGCAGTCTCTTCAAAATCTGATAATAAGGTAAAGCAGTGAACGAAATTACATGCGCTTTTACATGAAAAACGCAAGCCATTTGATTGAGATACTGGCCCGAGAGGCCGAGACGATCTTCCATCGTCTACACGACTGCCTGCACTTTGACCCCCACCGTGATGCATCGGCCGACCGATCCGTGGTCCCACCGGTGGGCGGTAGGGCAGAGCTCGCCGCGCGCTGTCCTGCATGCAAGCCCACGCCGCCTGTGGAGGAGCCACGAACCCAAGACAGCCCGCCGATCTACTACCTCGGCGGTCCTAACTACCCGCCGACTAACCTGCGCGCTCTCTCGTGCCCTGGAAATCTGGCTCTACCCGCCGACTACCCTGCGCGCTCCCTCTGGCAATCGAGCTCTACCCGCCGACTACCCTGCGACCACCGTCTCGTGGGTACATACCTACGTGCCGACTACTCTGCGCGCTCTCCCGTGCCCTGGCATGCATGCACCGGTGCAGCCAAAAGCGACCATTGTCTCGTGGGAACCTACTGCCTGCCGACTACCCTGCGCGCTCTCCCGTGCCCTGGCAATCTTGCATGCATGCACCGCTGCAGCCAAAAGCGACCATCGTGTCGTGGGTATCTACATACGTGCCGACTACGCTGCGCGCTCTATCGTGCCCTGGCAATCTGGCATGCATGCACCGCTGCAGCCAAAAGCGACCACCGCCTCGTGGGAAAATACGTGGGCGCCGCATGCACCGAGCCCGCCACGTGAACGCGATCCATCATGCGGCACGCCACGCGGCCAGTCATTGCGTGCCCCCACGCCACGATGCGCATGCTGATTCGAGTACATGCACAACGGACCCGACCGGCTCCTAGCTCATGTTATATAATGCTATCACCGATGAGCGTATAGCCACCCACAGCACACAGCTCCACCGGTAGTAACAAAGCCAGTACGTAGCGCAAGCAGAGTTTAGCTCGCTCCCAGCTCGGCCGTTCACCATGTGGACCAAGAAGGTGGCGACGCAGGTGGTTTTGGTCCTGCTTCTCCTCCTCATCGCACGTAAGTGTGGATTATTTTGCTCCGTCGACATTTTCATCAGATATTCAGTTGGATAGTACGCACATATGTTATGTCATTATACATGCATGTTGACGTGTGGCGAACATGAATGGATGCAGAGGAGGCGGCGGTGCCGGGGGCGGAGGCGAAGATCTGCCGGCGGCGCAGCGCCGGGTTCAAGGGGCCGTGCATGTCGAATAAGAACTGCGCGCAGGTCTGCCAGCAAGAAGGCTGGGGCGGCGGCAACTGCGACGGGCCCTTCCGCCGGTGCAAGTGCATCAGGCAGTGCTGATCATATGTGCTACGGCTAGCTGGCCTTCGCCGTACGTCAGCTAGCTAGCCCATGGAACCATACGTCTGTGTACCTACTTGAATGTGTGTGCCCCCTTCTACGTACGTATGTCGTATGTATGTCCGTGTCATCACTAGCCAGCCAGCTGCTGCATCTCGATCGATGCATGCATGGGCGGGCTAAGGTATAATAATAAGAATAAAACGTACGGTTCACGTTCCGTTCCGTGTCACTGCTGTTAAGTTTGCACTGTCGTTTGTCCTGTCGTCTCGGTGTTTCCATTCACATTATGCTTGTGGCAAGGTTCATCGAGAGCTCCCCGTGACAGGCTACCATGTTGGATACCACCACATTATTTTTTGAGTTGTAGACACCTTGTATTCGACGGACGTGTCATACAGATGAGCGAAGTCATTCTTAGATATACGACACCTCATAACGAAGCCTGAAATAAACCAAGCTAATACGATAACTAGATGAAGCCCAGCGCGCTAAAAGTAACTAAATCTATTGAAAAGAAAATAGTTGTTTAAAATACATAATTAGTGTTAAAAATAACTAAATCAAATGAAAAGAAAATAGAAGTTTGAATAAATAAAAAGAAATATCTAAGATAGGAAAAAGTTATAGTTAAAAATATCATTTCAAACAAAAATAGGAAGGATGGTTAACATGCATGTATATGATGTGGCATTTATGAGTTAAATGCATGGCTTGCTTATGTGGCCGACCAAATGAATTGCTTAGTGAAGAGAAGACTTAAATATACTGATGACAATAAAATAGACATTTTGCATGTTAAGAGAATGCATTGCTTAGTGAAGAGAATACTTAAATATATGACTTAGTGAGGACAATAAAACATTTTGCAGTTGAGAGAATGCATTACTTCGTGCAGGGAAGACTTAAATATATGGCTTAGTGAGGACAATAAAACAGGCATTTTGCATGTTACGAAAAATGGGTGAAACTTTTTAAGAACAAAGGATATGGGAGCATCTATGTCAAATCTCATACTTCGGATTAATTTCACTACAATGAAAATCTAAATATGCTTATTTCGTGGGGATGCCACAGATATTCATAGTTTGCACACCTGATGGGATGTTATAATCTTTGTTTAATCCAAGAAATGCTAATGTTGTAACTTTTGTTTAACTTAACATATGTTGATTTTGTAACCTTTGTTTAATCTAAGATATGCTTAGTTTGCACACCTAATAGGGTTATTGTAATCTTTGCTCAGTTGGCGTTTTCCTATGATTGTCTTAGTTTACCTTCCTTGTAGAACTCTTTTTAAATGGAGGCAGAAACTTTATCTCATCTCAGTAACTAAGAGGGATAAGATAGTGTTTTAAAGGTTACAGGACCACACAAGTCTGAAACATGGAGACCACTCTCCTGGAATTAAGTTGCCCAAAAATCTAGCCTTGACGATAACCCATGTCTTCGCCTCATCCTTAATCCAGTCTGGAAGGAAGGGAAGCTAAAAAATCTAGCCTTGACGATAACCCATGTCTTCCCTTAATCCAGTCTGGAAGGAAGGGAAGCTTTGGAACGAACCACCCTAGCATTCCTTTCATTTCAATCTCCCTGCATATGAGCATATATAGAGAGGTGTTGGCCTTCCTGGAGTTCCTTAGCATTCCATCTTTTGAGCATCACCATTGCTTCATTGATTGGAGATTGCTCCATGTCGGCGTCGCCGATTGAATTCCTAGCCAATCGTAGACCATGTTCCAAATTTGGATAGTGTAACAACACTTGAACATGAGGTGGGCGGCGGGTTTCGGTTCCCATTTACATAGTTGGCAAATAATACAGTTTGACCAACCTTTGCGAAACAATCTGTCTGTCGTCCAAATCTTATCTTGAAGATAGAGCCATGAAAAGAATTTAATATCCGAAGAGGCCCAGATCTTCCGAACTAACCATGGCATGTCCGAATTGATCAATCCAACAAGTTGCATCCGATAAGCGGTTGCGGCGTAGTACCAACCATCAGCAGTGAACTTCCACCAGGTGCCCTCACTAGTGCCCAACGAGAGTTGGAACTCTTGACATTTGCACCAAAGGTCAAAGAATTGTTGGATGAGGGCAACGGAGATCCCATCTTGCATGTTAATGTGCCCGACCCATTCGTTGTTCTATAAGGACTTGACGACGCAACAGTTGGTGCGCTTGGAAAGGGCGAAGATGCCCAGAGCGATGTCCTTGGGTTTTAGCCCATGCAGCCAGGGTGTGTGCCAAAAGGTTGCTTTCATGCCTTCTCCAATGGTAATCGTTGTCGTGGAATAGAATAGGTAATCGTCTTCGTCATTACACGGAATTTCAAGACCTACCCAAGCCCTCTGTGGGTCGACCCAAGCAAACCAAAGCCAGCGCAACCTGAGAGCACGAGCGAACTTGTCAATATTCAGAATGCCAAGCCCTCCAAGATTTGTAGGGTGACAAAGTGTTTTCCAATTCACTTTGCATTTTCCTCCCACACCTGGTCAGTACCCCACCCAAAGGAATGCCCGTTGAATCTTGATGATACTAGCTTTGATTCCTGGTGGCACATCAAGTGCGGTGATGTGGTAAATCACAAGAGATGTTAAAACCGATTTGGCAAGTGCAGACCGACCTGCTGAGTTGATGTTGTTCCCTTGCCAAGGTGGCAGCTTGGTCGCCACTTTGTCCACGAGGAACTGACAATTTGTCTTCTTCAGGCTATTAGTGGAAAGCAGAAGTCCCAAATAACGCAAGGGGAATTCCACCCTAGCGGCAGGAAAACTATGCAGTATTACATCGAGGTTAAGTCTGGCACAACTAATTTGGGCGACGTCACGTTTAAGAGGATTAGCCACAAGACCCGTGACTTCAAAATCCTTCAGAATCTTTGCAAGTCTCTCTATGTCTCTTTGATGGGGGCAACAAAAATGGCCGCATCATCAGCGTAAAGGGAGTTTCGCATGCATGCAGTACGACCTCGAAGACGATGAAGGAGGCCTTGCTTTGTAGCTTTGACAAGAAGTTGTTGCAGGGGGTTAATGGCAATGACAAACAGCAATGGGGATAGAGGGTCCCCTTGTCATAAACCCTTCCCTACCTTCATAGGGTGACCTGGGAT